TGTGACGTTACCTATGTATTCAGGTCTACAGAAATAAATGATTATTATTATTATTATTATTATTATTATTATTATTATTATTATTAAAAGACGTGACACTTTATTCAGATAAGTGTCCTGGACAAAATAAAAATTCGTTTTTACCTGCTATGTAAATGATGGTTTTAAAAAATAACCCGAATTTTCGTTTCATAAACCATAAATTTCTCGTTCCTGGACACACACACATATGGAGTGTGATTCCGATCACTCCATTATAGAGAAAAAGAAAAGAAACCCTTGTCCAATAGAGCATCCACGAGACTGGATAAACTTGGTCAAATTGTGTGCGAGTAAGAAGCCTTTTTTAGTTAGTTTTTGAATTTTTGTCTTTATATAAAACTATCTTACAACAAAGGAAAGTTACTGACTCTGGAGAACAACTATCATGAAAGGAGATAAAGTGGTTAAGGGTGTCTCAAAATACAGGTATTCTTGAGTATAAAAGTAAAACATGGCCAAAAAATATCACAATACCTTTATCATACAACAGTCCCAATCCCATCAATGTGTAAAAGAAAAAGAACTTGATGGAACTTATGCTTTATATTTCCGACACATTTCACTTCTATCAGAATTTAAAAACCAAAGATGATATACCAAATACTTTACCGGATATCAACGAAAGTAGAGAAGAAGAAAACTATTGAAAAGATGTCTAGTCAAGTGGTTATAGTTTTTCATTGACTTTTTCCTTTTCGATTCGTTCTTTTATTTTTGGTTTAAACTGCGAATGTGTTTACTTATTATTTAATAAAGTATAGGGTAACATGGTATATGTGTGTTTTTTCTTTAATAAAGTAAAATGGTATGTGCGTTTTGTTTTTTCAAAAATTTTAAACCTATATTCCATATTTTTGTACAAAGATTTCAGAATATTTGATATAAAAAATCTGATGTGTCCAACACATGACTTTCCTATCTAGTTATTACAGGCTTTTTCCGGTTATTTTGTACAACCTATTGCAGCACCTCTATAAATGTTTAGAGGATAAACTAAATATATACATTTTCCACATACATCTACCTCGAAACATTTTTCTATATTCATTGAAAACGAAAATACTGAAAAATTTAAATTTAGCACTTTTCCTACAATTTTTCCATTACGGTCCATTTTAGAAAAATCATGTATAAACAAAAATTATAGAGATTGATATCGCAAACAACTTTTAGTTCAACAATTTTCATAAAAATCAGAATTTTGCACATTTTGTCAAATTTCTCGAATACGGAACATTTTAGAAAATTTTTACATAAAGCAAAAATTATAGATAATATTAGAAGTAACTTTTATTTGAACAATTTTTTTCTGCAAACATAAATAACAGATACATTCCATAAAATATAAAAACGGCCTCCCATAAAGTACCCCCCAGATGTTCCGACTTTGTCCAAAATCTAATCATTTCACGTCAGGTCGAAATAAAATAAGTTTAAAATTTAATGTTTTTTTTCTTTACCCGTTTTTGAGTTTTCTTCAAATTTCAAAATTTACACATTTTTCAAATATCTCGAATACGGTCCATTTTAGAGAAATTATGTATAGGATAAAAATTATAGAGAATTATATTACAATTTTTATAAAAAAATATTTTTTTACATTTTGTCAAACTTAAATAACATATATTCCATAAAATATAAAAATGACCACCTATAAAGTACCCCCCTAGATGTTCCGACTCCGCCCAAAATCTAATCAGCTCATTGGACGCTGGAACAAAGCTTAAGTATAAAATTTGGTGTTTTTCTGTGTATCGGTTCAGGAGTTATGTGACACACAGACATCATCGCGAAAATAGTCAAAACGGATTCAGGGGACGTCAAAACGTAAAAATTCGTCGAAAACATCATGATTCCTATACTTTACTTATATCTGTATACAGATAGGAAAGTAAAAAAGGCAAGAAAGTTTTAAACGGATACTTCTTATACTCAAATGCCAGCATAATAAGATCCAATAAATTTCAATAGCGATTTTCTAAAAATCAACTTTTTTGACTTATACCACTGTTCTCCAACACCCGCCAATTATTTTGCTATTTTTAAAAGAATATATATTTCCGTGCAAAATAAAAGGTTGCAAATTGGAATAGCTGTTCCAAAAACTTGTATGAGTTATGTCATCGGTTTGCAATACTTTTGCAATATTTTTATCTATTTTACAGATTATCAAAAAAAGTTGCAAATCTGATATAATGTTGAACATAATACATTATATATTGCTTCAAGTTTGCAGCATTTTGCAATTTTTTTTTTTTTTTTTGAAAGTTATTAATTTTAATTTTTTGTAATTATTAATGTGTTCCGGACCTCAGAAAAAGTTGCAAAATTAAATTTATAATTATTTAAATTTAATAAATATTCCAACAGTTGGAAAACTTTTGGTTTAAAAAAATATGTTTGTTCCAAATTGGTTAATCGAAAATAATTTTAAAGTATGGCGCTCTGTAAATATTTTTTTTTTTTTTTTCATTTCTAATAGGGTCAAAGATATTGATATTTTTTACACTAATGGATCAATCAACAGACCAATACAAATAGTTATAAATTTGGGGTTTTGAGAATTCGGTTACATTGAAATAATACACAATAAATAATATAACTTAAAAGATTTATTTGAGTAATGGTTGATATTTACATATAGATTTAAGTCTAATAGTATCAAAACAAAATTTGCCAAAACTTAACAGCTCCTCAGTCAGAACTGCTTATAACTGACACGAAATAAAATTTATAATGGAATTATATGTATTTCAAGAGAAAATATTGAAAATTCAGAGAGCTCAACCAAATATTTATTATACTACATATTTTTTAGATCTTAAGTTGCACAAGCACAGCAGTATGTATAGTATATTAGTGAAACAAAAGGTATAATGGCATTTTATGAAAATTCTTATTTCAATGATAACGTCACTTTAATTCTGTTTACTTTCATGTACATAACAAAACTCTGTTTTTGCTTAAATTATACTTTTGTTGGAACTTCACAATACATTCATGTAATTATAATTTTTAGAAAAATGTAGGCACCCAAATAAAACTAGAGATGTTTCAGTGTGTGTTAATTTATAATAAAAACAGTCAAAAAGTAAAATTAGCTATTATAAATAAATAAATAACAACTTAATATATACAAATATTTAAATTATGATATTTCTACAAATCTTTTTTTTATATATATAAGTATAAAAATTGGAAGCGATGTTTTAATGAATGAATTAAAAAAATTGTCTAAAATTATTGCCAATAATCTAGATCAATTTGATATAAAACGAGTAAAACCTTTTTTTGATATACACTATTGCTCTCTGCTTGCAAGAATACTGTAACAATGAAATTATAATTAAAAACTTATAAAAAACAGCAATAGCCATACGATCGATCTAATTAGTGTACAAGATAAACAAATTCGTTAGGCAAAAGATTTGTTTACAGCCCTAAGTGAAAAATACTATCAGACTAAATTTCTTAATATAAGAAAAAGTTACCCCTTTTAGTTATTCTCTTTTAGAATACGATCGAGATTTTTTTTTTGTTAATTACAAAATACACATCCAGTAACTTCATTATAGGCCGCTTCAGTGAAATATTTTTAAATAAACATTAATTTTCAAAAATTACTTCACCATGTACCTATCGCGACAGTTACCACTTTTACCGTACTAATTAAAACAAATTCAGATTTTTTACATCAACTTTAGTACATTCACATTTTTTGAGATTTTTTTCAATGATTGTTATTAATAAAAAAAAAAATAAACTAAGTAATACATTTTTTGATTCTCAGAATTATTAAATAAAAAGAAAGCAGTTGCATTTTCCATTGTAGATACTGTAGAGGAATTTCTTGAAACAAAAAAGTTGGAAACTTACAAGATAACTATTGGTTTTTATACAATTCTAAATTCCATGAATGTTTTAAAGTAAAACAAAATAGATTGAAATAAAATTATTCACTTCTACTAACACTATGTTTCAATCTTTTAAATTATCTTATGAAGACAATATTTTAAAAAAAACTGAAACATTAAATTACAATTCAAAAATCTAAATATTTAAAACTATTTCTCAATCAATAATTAACCTGTATGTTCTAAATTTATTTTATGATTTTTTTTTTTCAACAAGTAACAAAATGTATTTTCGGTCATGTTTCATTAATATACCTACCACAGGCGCTAAAATACAGATATACGATTTTAATTTATTTGTGAAGTGATCATTTAAAAAAAACTTAATTATATAATGCAGTTTTATTAAATTATTACAGTAATACTTCTTACAATTTGCAATATTTTAAGTAACAATTTACGATTCATTTGTACAAAAAGAATAATAAAAAATTGCAATGACATTTCACTGTATCGTTCATGTTCATTGGCAGTAGTTAACACATTGACGGATACTCACGAGTATCCTTGTCTCAAGGTCTTTGAAAATACGACGAGTATACCCGTATTCATATTTAACCACATGAAGCCTACGACGGAGCTTTCAGTCGATTTTTCACGTATAAGTATACAAAGTGTCGATCTGCACATTAAAATATTTTAATTAGCTGCTGTAAAGTGGCGTGATTTGGTCAGGTTGTTCGTTTTTGCCGTATGCTTTTAAGGTACGTTCTCTTTTGGGCGAGTAGTCGAGACGTTTAGACGCGGCGTTTAATCGTGCCGATAGGTTAAATAGTAATATAACGATGGTCTGATTTAAGCGACAAGTCGATACAAGTCGCCACAGGACGACGCGTCTTACGGCAAAATTGGTCGTCAGGCAATTTAAACGCGCACGTTTATTTAATCGTCTGCTATTGATGCATTATTGAAGCATTATTCTCAACATGAAATATCAACACCAAAGCAAGCTTTTCCATTGCTGTAATTGGCCTTTTAACGCATTTAGTAGATTTTTTTTATATCAATATTTAACAGTTCATTAAATTGACTTTTGGTCAGCCTAAAAGTATTCTTTGAATTTAGTTTCGTCATCAATTAAATGTCTCATTATTAGCGTACTAAAGCACCCTTATTTTCTTCTTTGAACAAACATTTTATGAACCTTTTTACACTTTTTTTGCATTGATGATAATCGCAAAATGTCATCGTCTTCTGCTTCTTCTATAAGCAATTGTGCTGCAATCTTTTAGTTGTCATTTTTGTCGAATGAAACAAAAAATACTGATTGGCGACTAGACGATAACTTGAGGTGACGACGTAAACAGACCACTAGGTACGATCAGGTGCGTCTAGACGTAAGCGATTAAGCGCCGCGTCTAAACGTCTCGACTACTCGCCCAAAAGAGACCGTACCTTTATTGTTCGACTTGGGTGGATCGCCGCGTACTTTTTGTAAAGTTTTGTTTTTGAAATTTGAATAGACTACAAAATGAACAAAAAAAAAAGGCAAGAACAATTACATTGACAATAATCCTGATATTGAATCGAGCTCTTCTGAATATGAGCTTGAACATGATTATTTAACCCTATAATACATCAACCAATGCCAATCCTTTCTTTTTTTTTAACACCAATCAAAACAAACTGTTTCTGAGAACACTGCATGGTGCAGTGCCCTGCTTTCACTAAAACCCGTTTGGATTTAAAAAATGCAGTTCATTACCAGCGTAACGTATCAAATATTTATGAAAACGTCAATGTGAAGTTTGTCAAAAAGGAAGGATTTAAAAAATTAAATTCATTACTAGCGTAACGTATCAATGATTTATGTGGAACGCCAATGTGAAGTTTATCAAAATAGAAAGGAAAAATGGACAAAAATCGGTTGCTCAAATAAAGAATTAACATCACTTTCGATTTCATCTTACAGAAACAAAGCAAATGCAGTTTATAAAACTTGTTTATATTGATAAATTAATCTTTCCAAATAAAGAACTTTTTTTCTAGAACATTTTGTAGTTTCCTTGCATATTATGCATTTTTCAAAAAATGATTACCTTTTGTGGTATTTATTACCTTTGAGGATAGTGACGATTCTATCTAAAGATTCAGATTATAACAAAAGCAATACAGAGTCCTCAGGTGAACATTTAATAAACAGTAAGTTTTTTGTGTTGTTTGACTTGGATTTATTGTATGTTATAGAAATGTTACATGTCTTAGAGAAAAATAAAAATATAAGAACGTTATAGAACATTTACAGAAATTACCATAGATGAACTGAAGTTTTTTGGACCATGAAAAAATCCTTGGGAAATAGAGGTATACAATGATAATATAACAGGTATTGACCAGGTTGATCAAATGATCAGGTACTATTCATGTCCAAGAAAGAGAGTAAGGGACACAAAAAAGTGGTTTTTGTGTTGGATATCTCCATTTGGAATGCCTTTTAGACAGTTAATAATACGGTCTTTTGGGACTCTCAATCAACGATGTTTTAGAAGGCAGGGATTTAGCAATCTCTAAACGCTCACGGAAAAGGAAAAGGACTTCTACAACACCACAGGAAGGTTATTTTATGGAAGAAATATAGATTCGAGGAACCATTAAGAAAAAAAGAAAATACTAAGCTGCCGGAATTGTACCTACGAAAGAAGATATCAGAAAAAACCTTCCCTTTGTCCAGGAATGTTTTTTTATATTTGGCACAAATAGCGCAATTTGTATGTTTTGTTTTAGATTTTTTCCATAAAAACTATGTAATATAATATTTTATAGTTTGAATAAGTTTTTAGAATATTTTGCATAGGACGGCAATAGACGCTAATGTCCATGTAAACCTAAAGTGTTGTTTAATAGGACATGACGTTTATATTCGTCGTCGCCATGTTTTTTTTTACAAAAAAGTTTTTCTATAATTATGACACACAAATATTAAAAATAGTCAGAAAACAGTGTCCGCCAACGTGTTAAAAACCCACTGATATTGAAATTACATAAAAAATATGCTATATGTACATAATATATCACAACAAATCACTATCATAAATAAATAAATCTAAATCTAACAAACATGTGATCGTTTTTGTTTAAGAGTTGATTCATATCATAAAATGCCTTATACTTTTAATGTCTTACATTGATTTTAATTTCAATGGTCGTTAAAATACTGATTTGTAGTTCTGCGCATATCACACAGGCAGGAGAAATTCAAATGGTAAATTAAGACGTGAAATAATTGAAATTTAGACATTTATCAGATCCTTGGACAAAAAAAAAATCTCAAAAAATGCACAAAAACTAAATGAAAAACGAAGAATGAAAATCTATTTTTAGATTTCTAGTTATGTATGTATATTAGGATAACTATATTAATCCCCTACCCTGGAAATTTCACATACATGTAACTATCTATAACCTTATATTTTATCTCAAATAAATAATATAAGAAGAGATTACAGACATTTTAAATCAGGGTTAACACTTGGAAATTTACGCCACTTTTGAACACAAACTAAAAAGCCAGAAATATATATAAATATATAGTATATACATCTTAAATACCAAAATGCTAATCACCAATGTATCACTGCCGATCAGAAAAGTTTACAAATTCTAACCCTTAAAGGAAATGTATAAAAAAAGGTATACCTATATACAATTTACAAAAAATAAACGTTCAAACGAAATTAAAAATTGTAAACACGACGACATTGAATATTTTCAATTGTAAATATAAGGACAATTATGTAGGGTCACTTCACACTGACACAATGGGTTTTCCTTGCAGTCCTATTTAAAGTTACATATCGCATCCTTAATTCAAAAGTGACACAACTCAAAATTAACACCTTTTAAATTAATACTATAAATGGAAATAGTAAACAACCCTACATTAATACCTCGAAAATGACACAGGCGCAATCACATTCATGGTATTAACTCAAAAGATGTAAAATATATGAATTTTGAGTTGGGTCACTTTCGAAGTAAGGGTTTGATATGCTCTTCTGTTATTTCCTGTGACAATTGCCACTATAATAACCTTGTTTGAAGTAGGGAACCGACCGCGGGATCCGAAACTGAGTCCCAAGAATTTTAAACACAGTGTTTTATTATCACTGTGCTACTGACCTGTCAGAAATTGTATTGAAACAAATTTATTGATACATTTTTGAACTGGATTATATGCAATGCAGTATCATTTTTAAAACGTAATACCTTTGTGATTAGCTAGAAGGTCAATGGCAGTGCAGTTAAAATCTATACTAATATCACTAAAACATAATTTTAATTTTGGTAAAAATCATATTTTACACAGATTCATTTATTTGAAAATTAGGCATGTTTATACGTTTCTATATTGCTTTAACATTTCGTTTGTAACAATATTGGTATTTAAATTCGTATTTTCGCAAAAGTTGTTTTTGAAGCATTTGTTGTAGTGATTTTTTGATTTTATTGTAGAACTGACACTAATTATAAATATTCTGATTATGTTTTGGTATTTTCTGTTTTTAATATTCTATAGGTCAGGAACATATAAAGAAAAGCACATTATTGTTTCATCCTAATGTTTCGGCTATTTATTTAGCTCTCCTCAGGACTGTAACATATTGTTTTTTACAATAAATGCACATTTTTTATCACTAAACAAATACCTCCCTGTCATTTATTATACCTAAAATTTCTTTGTTTATAAATTACCTAGTTAAGAAAAAAAGAGTCTAGGAATGACGTATCTTGAATTAGTGAGCTTCTTCTTAGCTATGCATTTTATATTTTTACAAGTTTAAAACGTTCAAATGCTTTTTTATCAATAAATCGTAATTTTGTTCGAAACTATATATTATTTAGTGTTTACTGAAATCCAAAATGGAAATATAGCAGATAATAATTAAAAGATCGAACTAGAAACAGCGTTTTAATCAAGTAATAGTTCACTTTTAGCATTTTAAGAGTGTGATATTTTGTGGCCATTTTGAAGTGACAACAATTTAAAATATCTGTTCAAATGTCTTAATGATCCACACATGAAATTTACAAATGAAAAACGTAAAAAATAAAACATTACGTCAAAAACTACAATTATTACATATTTATGTAACGTTTCACTTTTATAAGTTCGGTATATTTTACACAGTAGGAACAAGTTGATATAAAATAACACGTTTATGAAATAAGGACCGTTTCACTTCACTAATAATTGAAAAAGTCAATGTTAAAGTCATAGGTCCCCCCCCAACTAACCCACTCCTAGCTATTCCTTTGTCTTTTCGACGCCACATCTGATGTTAACATACCGCTCAACATATATTTTAGCTGAGGCATGAAGTCAATTACGTTTCTAACTTGCACTAAGGGTACTGTTTCACTGCCATTTCCACACCTACCATTCTCTGTTAGTATCCGTAACTGCGAGCTGAAAAACAAAACAATTTTTAGACATTGTCCTTTATTTCTTATCTCTTTCTGTAAACGCGACAAGAACATTTTAACATTCTTCTTCATAGATTCCATACCATATTTTTTGCATAACTTATGATTATTGAAAAAGTAAACATTCTGAGTATAAAACAATATGGTTTCCAAAAAGGGATAAATACGAGTGATGCCATGCAAGAACTAATATTCAGTATAAAAAAGTATCTTAGATAATAAAAACAAGAATATAGGTGTCATTATTGAAATTGAGAAGCATATGACACTGTTCCCCAAGAACAACTTTTAAATATTTCTGAAATTTATGTAATAAAGGAAACAGTGTTAAAAATCTTTGAAAACTACTTAAATGAAAGAAAACAATTAGAAAAAATAAGAAATGAACATAGTGATATAGTTACGATAATAATAGAAGTTCCACAGGTAACAGTCCTGTATCTGTAATTATTTATACATTAGGATATTGAGAGTATAATAAGTTTTTATGCAGATGGCATAGTTCTATTGTTTAAAAGCAACAAATGAAATTTTGTTGAGTTATCAAAGGGATGAAAATTATCAAAAATTGGTTAGACATGAATAAATTATCACTGAACCTTTCTAAAGTGGTATATCGTCGGTGAAAAGTGTTAATCCATTTCAGGCTATTTTACAGGAGGGCAAAAAACTTATTAACAAAATTTTCAATTTTGTTGTACATTTACGGTTTCGGCAGTATTCATAACATGTACTAACAAAGTTAGTCGTTTTTTCGCAACAATCAGAACCAAGAAGGATTTATTGACATCATATTAAACAGAAATGTCCGTTATTTCGATAAAATGTGGAGTTAGAAGGTTAACACTTTTCACTGACGATATATAGCGTTTTCCCTAACTAATGCTAATCGACCAACATTTAACGAGATTCATATCGATAATACTCTTGACTTTATCATAAAAGAAACTGAAACACTAAATATATAGGTGTAAAAATAGACAAAAATCTACTCAAATTCAATACTTCGCATACAAAATCAAAAAACTAATACACACATTCTATTTTATTTGAAATACATTGAATAAAAAATTGTTAATAATGATGTATTAAGCATTAGTTGAACCTTTAATAAAATATGTAATAACTGTATGTGGTGGTTTATATGAAAATACATTAAAACTATTTAATATAATACAGAATTACATTCTCAAAATAATTCATCTTAAAAATAGACTATTTTTAACACCCCTCAATATATTTTTACTCAAGTAGTATGTTTCTTTTTCAAAATTAAAAACAAATTATATAAATCACACAAATTTTACCAGGTGTAGAAACAAAAAAATATTAAATATAATAATATTTTTCACAATTGTAGGACCAAAAATAATCATTGCTTGTAATATAATACCTTGTAATATAAGAAAAATAAAAAATACACTTCTTAAAATTCTAAAAAATGTATTAGAAGTAAATACAAAAATTTGTCAAAATTGTTATAAGCTGTACTGCTTACTTTCAGCTCTATATATTTTTTCACTGCCAGAAAAAACTTCAATTTATGTTATTTTATTTGTGTAACCATTGTATTTAGATCAACTAGTAGAACAATACCAATGCAAATTATTTTGGAGGACAATGGACAGTATCAATAGGTAGCAAATCATAGCAAGTCCAAGTCATGTATCAATAGGTAGCAAGTCATAGCAAGTCCAAGTCATGTCTTTGATAATTTTGTCGTCTTCTACCGAGCCATCGAAAGGTTGTCAAAACTGAATAACGAACGTAATTTCACTATTTACTAATAGATGGGCCGACAGTCGATTCAGAATATTTGTTTTAAAAATGAGATAAAGGAGTTTAATTATGCTTGATGAACAAATGTTAATTTAAATTTGGCAATCTACCCAAATGAATTTAAAAATTAAGAAAACTTTATGTATATAGAATTCTATACTCAATGATTGAAGAAGCGCTAGCGCTCGGGCCATTTTAATGAAGTTCTGTACTTGTTCTAACAGATGTAGCGACAGAATTGTCTCCAATGAAACGTCCACAAGGTTTTTCTATCTTATCTAAATACAATGGTGCAACTAATTAAAGGTTGTTATAAATTATAATTGTAAACTTGTAGATACTATCTACTTCTGTGGATTGATATAACTTTAATTCGTATAGTTTCTCACTTTTGTAATGTTTGAGGTTTTTTAGGGTTCTGTACCCACCAAAAATGTTTAAACAGAAACCTTATGGTAGGACCCAAGCCACAACCACTTGTTTGAGGAATAGATACAACAAACTTCAAATTGAAACAGTTATGAACTTAAACAAAACAAATTAAAATGGATCTGACTCTTAACAATATTAAAACAAGTATGGGACGTAAAAATAAAAGGCAAAAGAACAACAAAATGACAAAATACATAAGAGCTCTGAAGGAATTTAGTAGATATACTATCACTTAACATTGTACGGCCAATTCTCCTAAATAACCAGAACTACAACAACTGCTAACTCTATAGTAGTTTATTTGTTGAATTCCACTCTAGGTATCTAAAGATAGTGATCGATTCTTATTCAGGGTTGTAGTTTTTATTTGACTACACAATCAATAGTTAACTTTTAGATAACGTAAACAAATTAAAGATCTTAGCGTTTTTTTTACTCAACTCTTAGCTTTAACCACCACATCTCTTCAGTTATAGATAAATCTGTGAAAATGTTAGGATTTATTAAAAGGACGACCCGCAACTGATGTAACTACTATTAAAACTCTTTATTGTACTTTAGTAAGGAGTCGCCTTGATTATTGTTTGTCTGTATGGTCCCTACATTATGTAACACAAATTAATAATCGATCGTGCTAAAAACTTAGTAACACAGCCTTTAAATTACAAATTTATTATGATTATAAAACAAGAGAGCAGTTTTTAAAGATACTTTCTCTGGAAACCAGAAGATAACATAGATAACTGATGTTAATTTTTAATGTCCTGATATCCTATCGTAAATTAATCTTTCTGTTCCTACTCATAATACCAGGAAATCACAAATATTTTACATTCCTTTTTATAGACTTCAATAGTACTTTTAACAGTTGTATTCCTCAAATACATAAATTGGCAAACTCTCTGGATAATTCTTATAATATTTTGACTCATCTATAAACAGATTTAAGCACAATATTCAAAACTTATTGTAATGTATAACTATTTTAAAAATTTCTTGTAACCTAAATGGGCTTGCACATAAATGTACAAATAAATATAAAATATAACAAATTTCCATTGGCTTTGTGCAACCGCATCTTTTTCTAATTCTATTTATTTAATAGAAAAAAAGCTACTTACGCATTTGCTTTGTAGATCTCTATTCCTAGCACCTGCATAACTTGTTGACACGATTGTACAGGAACATTATTGAAGAAATGAGTCACTAAGTACGGTAATGTCACTAACATATCCGTCCAGGCATTTGGTTTCATATTAATACAAGGGACCATTTTGCCTTCTACTAGCACTTTCTGGATCTTGTATGGATTGCTGTTACTGCTCGTTGGTGGGGTATCTGCTAACGGTATGAGTTTACTATTACTCCTATTTACGCTGTTTACCATCGATCGGCCATTGGTTATACTGTTTCGTTCCTCCGATGGGGTACTTGTGGCTGTTCTAGGTTGCTGGTGTGCAGGGTTCTGGTTCACTATCTGGGCTGAGGTACTGTTTACTCCGTAGTTATTCGCACACTCCCTGCAAAAAAACAAAATTCATACATTTGAATCATTTAAATATTAGGATAAAAATAATGCAAGAAAAAACTATCTACAGGTGAAAAAATCCAATATCTCTGGCACTATTAGAGACAAAAAAAACATTTATGGAATGGAATGCAGCATTAACCTCCATATTTTAAAATATTTTCGAAAATATAGGGTATTCAGTAACTGAAGTCTGGAACAAACTGATTTTTTTAAATGGATCATCCTGAATTTTATTTTATATATGAATTCACCTTTCCCGTTATTCAACAATTTCTCATTACTTATGCACAAAAAAGCGCGGAATTTTGAATCTAGTAATTTTTCATACAACTTATTTTCTATTTCTGTTATCCTTGCCTTACATTTGTTGGGTTGGCTACGACTATTAACTCCTGTCATCGTTAATTTAAACAACTATCATCGAGTCTGTGGGTGCCAGTGGCACTTATTTGGTACACATTTGCATGAATTATTTTCTACAGTCTTTTTTAAGACGTCGTCATCGAGGGCTCAATCGCTGCCAGAACTGCAGCAAAGCATTTCTACAAGGTAAGAAAGGACAAAATATTTGTAACTTTGTCTTTCGAAAATAACACCCTTAAAAGTGTCACTGATTCCTTTACTAATTAGGCATTCCAACGCAGGGTTGCCAGACGTCCCGCCATAGTAGGAACAGTCCCGCTTTTTGCTAATCTGTCCCGCCTTTTTTTAATAATTCCAAGTCCCGCTTTTCACGTAAATTATCCCGGTTTTCCCGCCTTTTCCACTCTCTCACAGAAGTCGCAAAAAATGCAACAATTTTCCTGCCTCTCAAGCATTGTAGGTCAAACATTTGATGTTGTTTCGTGGTCGAGGTCATTTTGTTCAGTGAATTAAGAATAAGTTAACTTCGATCGTTAAAATTTTCTACTTTATTCAAGCATTCGCCCTTGGAATTACGGCCTATCATTAAGTAACACCCTGTATATATAGAGTATAAATAATGATGTCTTCTGTTGTTTCATTGTAAAGCGTTTATTTTGTTATTATAATAAAGAATATTTTGTTTTTTTTTTCCTCATTTTTAAGTTTTGGTTGAATTCCTAACAAAGTTACATAGATTGCTCAAAGCGGGTCATTTACGAGCGGCCATATTGCCTCGCAAGTACTCATAAATCAGAATAGATTTTACAAAAATGTGTGTACCAACCAATATTTAGCCTATGAATATAGTAACAAAAATAATTACCTACATTTTTACTCCAAGGCATAAGCTTATGTTTATTTTCAAAAATATGGTTAATCAATCTATGTAACTATCTATTTCAATGACCTTGTCAAATCACAAGGTCTACAGGGTTGCCATAATTTTGAAATGCCATAAACTGTCAAAACCCACTGATAGCCATTTTGTTTGAAATGCCTAATAATATAATTTAAAAATGACATTTGGGGATGTGTAATTGGAACTCAGGGTAGGAAACATAACAACAACAAATTTTGATGATTTTTAGAGGAAGTAGGATTTGTGCATGATGATGGTGGGTGAGGTTTTCCGGGTTTTCCTCACCTGTAAGTCAAATGGCACCATCAATCATCTTTAAGTCGCCCCGGAGCGCCACGGCAAATAATAATAATAGCCGTCCCTTTCCCCGGACAAGCTCAGCTTTTGGGGTTAAAATTCACTCGTAAGGGGGTGAATTAGGGAGAGTATTATTATTATTATAATAGAGTTCATCAATATCAGGAAAGGTCTCAGGAAAAGTCTCGAAAATACCACAAGTCTGTTCTCTTTCTTTGTTTAAATGTAAAATAGATAAAACAAAAAGTTACTAGATTTGCAGTCCTAAATTACATCATGTTATTATGTCAGGTGGCACTTATCAAAATAATTTTAAATTTGTCAATTTGTTAAAAATTTGTATATTTTGATATTTAAAAAGTTTTTATAGGTATTCAAAAAAATGGTGAAATGCTTTAGTGATCAATCAAAAATTTTTATCCTAAACGTAGTTTCCTAATTTAAGAGGCACAAAATCTATTTGCGAGGCTCTTTCAAAGAGGTACAATCAAATGGCTGCAGTGGCATTAAATATTTCGCAGAAAACTATCTATTGACTTAGTAAACCAACAAATTCTGATACAGAATATGTAAAAATAATGTCTAAAAAAGTAAGCCAAAGTAAAACAAAAGTCAATTCTTTAATATTAAGTTGAGGCAAGTTATATATAAGATGTACGAAGGTGTGCAACATGTAACAATAAACTCGTTACATAAACGATTTTCGGAAGAAATGCCTGATGTGAAATGTTCTACACCAGGCCTGCACAACTCAGATTTTCAAAGGGCCAGTTTGAGAAACCGTAAGTGTACGAGAGCCAAGAGAGACCTGATGTGATTCTAAAAAAAAAAGTTCTCACGTTATAATTCTGCCGAGCTTTTCTAAAAAAAAAAGGTCGTCAGCCTAAATGCAAATTTGTTACTAAAAAATGTATAGTTTGACGTAGGCTGGCGAAACTAGTCAACAGCCAACGGGCCGCCAAAACGGCAAAGGCGGGCCGCCAAAACGACAATGGCTGGCCGTATGTTGTGCAGGCCTGTTCTACACGGTCAATTAATATATGGATTCGAAAAATTGACTTTAACTTTAAGCCTGTATTTATGGATGAGACGAGACAGAAAAAGTTGGCAAGATGGAACGATGGCTGCTGCAAGTAACAAGAGGAGATGGAATTCGATAAATAATTATCCATGGTGGCAATAAAGGGTTTATAAAAAATGCAGACCTCATATTTAAAGTCAAACAAAAAGCGGGGATATTCCCATGATATGAACACAAAAAATTTTGAAAAATGGTTTAAGACGAAATTTATACCTAGTCTGGAACATCATTTTTTGATTTTAATCGATATTAGGGTCTATTCTGTAACAAAAACCTGTTCGTATTCGTTAATTTACTTCTGTCATTATTTAAACAGATTTCTTTAAGATAGTCCTCTAATGTATTTTAAAGATCCGTTTAAATAATGACAGAAGTAAAGAAGAAAATATTTTTAAAGGCCGTTAAATATAAAGGAATTGTTACAGAATAGACCCCAATGCCAGTTATAATTTGCGGTACGTGGAATCAATTCCATGTTATAGTTGGACAAAAGATAAAATGGTTGCAGGAAAAGAACATTAATTATCGAATCAATTGTATGAAATAGCAGATTTGGGGAGTTGTACGTCAAAAACTACCACAAAAATAATTCCTCCTAGATAGATATGTTGAGGAATATTGGCATAAAATATTAAAAACTCCTCCATATTACTGCCAGTACAATGCGGTTACGAAAAAATTTTAACAACAAAGTCGTCACCGGAAGATGTATTTCAGACTTGGTCAGAAGCTTTGAATAATGTTACCGATACTCAGTGGGACAATTATGTAACATACACTAAAAACAATTGTTTCCGATTTGGAAAAATACAAGCAATTGTTTCTGATCTAGAACCAATTATTATTAATTTAGGTACAATGGCAAGTAGTGATGAGTCTGAATCAGAATCCAGTTGTGAAGAAAATGATATTGATTAAAAAAATTTATATGAGTTATCCAATAAATATTTTCTGTGCCTCTTGTTAAAATAAATTTTTTTAACAAAGAATCTGTTTCACGAATTTGCACCTGTTTTGGATTAACTTTAAAAACTCTAAAAATGCTAAAAACCAATGTTCAACTGGAAAATGTATTTATAAAGTACGAAAGTAAATTGTACTAGTATTGGTAGACAAAAAGTAAAATGACTTCTTGTATTCGTGTAAAAGCACCTTAATACAGTTTACGCTGCTAAGCAACAACAAAGCACAACTGAAATAGGAAGACAGGTGCAAACTGTAAATAAAAATGCAATATTCTTTTGTCAGAGGACTTGGGGTATTTCTATCACTTTATTACCCTTTTTCTATTTTAACAACGGCAAATTACACAGGGTATTTCACTCGATATAACCATTAATATATGAAAATCATATTGATTTCAATGACCTGTATAATGCAAAAAAAATCAGAACCAATTTTTAGATGTTAGTCAACATTTATGCCAATGCACTACTTTAATTCGTAACAAATATATACAGGGCGAGTCAAAACTCAAATATATAATTTATCTCCATTTTTTTTAAAGAACCAGCAGCCGCTTATGGAGAAATGGGCTTTATTTACATTTCCTGACTTTTTGATATGTTGTAGTTGTCGACTTCCTGAACAATATTGTCAACTACTGTGATTACAGATATTTATCGAGATTAATGTTTTACTGATATCAAACAATATATCATATGACGAAAATTATAACTAGTTACAGGGTGAGTCATAAATTACTAAAATTCGAATTTTAATTTTTACTTTAGCAAGAGATTATTCTCCAAATTAATATTACGCTGAAACAATTGGCTTAATAATCAAAATTAGGGACTATTACATTTTATACAGTGCGAGTCAAAAAGTTGGTAGATCCTGTACACTATTTTTAATAAAATTTTACCTATTTATATTTAATAATAGACATTAAATATGTATACTTTATAAACAATACAGTATAGTTCAAAAGACCAGAGAACATACTTTTGCCATGTGTCGCCCTGCATTTAAAAATGCATTGGTTAAATTGCGTCTTTTTCTAAATTTACTTTATTTTGAGTTTGCTAATAAAATATAAAAGTTATATGAACTTACTACAGTCAGTTATTGAGAATATGAGGTATAAAACTTTGTAATGACAGATATGAACAATTAAATTTGTTTCTTCCTCACCACTCACTCCTAAAGGTAATTTTTTGTACCCAATTGCAAGAAGTGATTCATTATATGTTTATTCCAGACTGAAATTATTTTAAATTATCGAGTTTAATGCTGTCTACCGTTCTGTAGTAATTCTTTTTTTATATCTTTAATAGTGCGGGAAATATTGGACTAATGGATTGTGTATAAAAAATAATAAATAGTAAACTGATTAGTGGGTATA